AAAAAAAAAAAAAAAAAGGAGGTAGAAAAGAAAAATTACATAAAGTAAGGGGGAATAATAATAATATGAATGATAATATCAGAAACAGTGTAGGTAAGAGGACAATGGAATGAATTTTTTAAGTGTGTGTGTGTTTTTTTTTTAAAGCAAATCTGCTAATCTGTTATTCTGCGTTCAAAAATGAAGGAGAAATAAAGACATTTTCTGACAAAGGCAAAAACAGTTTGTCTACACCAGACCTATATCACAATAAATGTTCTTTATGCTAAAGAGAAGTAATAATAAAGGAAGCTCACATCTGAAAATAGGAATGAATTGCACCAGGACCTTTTAAAATATCTTCCTTTTGTACATTTATTCAAAAAATTGTTGATTATTTAAAGCAGAAATAATGTATTGGGTATGTAGTATAAGTAGGAAGTACAAGTAAGCTATATGACAATAAGTGCACAACAGGCAGGAGAAAGTTAAATGAAGTTAGACTTGATAAAGATGTACTCTAATCACTAGAGCAAACATTCAAAAAAAATAGAGGTATAGCTATAAGGTCAATAAAGGAAATAGAATAAATATTGTTTTACCAAAAAGAAGTCAGAAGAGCAGGATAGAGGAACAAAGAACAGATGGGCAAATAGAAAGTAAATATAAAGATAGTAGACTAAAATCATATCAATAATTAAGACTCATTATTGACACTACTTTGAAAATAAATGTTGGGTACTATTTATGGCACTGTTTACACTTTTGGTTTGCTTTGGTGGATTGTGGTATGTTTTTTTAAAATATGTTTTTAAAATGAAATTAGTTGTATACTATCAATTTCACTCACTTAAAATGTACAGTTCAGTGGGATTTATTATGTTTGCCAAGTTGTGTGACCATTACAACCATCTAGTTCAAGACCATTTTCATAGCTTCAAGAGAGACCTCATATCTATTAGCAGTCACTCCCTATCCCTGGGCAACTGCTATTCTGTTTTCTATCTTCATGGATTTGCCTTTTCTGGATATTTAATGTAAGTGGAAACATATAATATGTGGCCTATTGTGTCTGTCATCTTTCAGTAGTATAATGTATTCAAGGCACATTCTTGTAATATGTATCAGTACTTCATTCCTTTTTTTCTTGCTGAAGAGTATTCCATTCTATGGCTATACCACATTTTGTTTATCCATTCATCAACTGATAGACAATTCAAAACAATTTGTTTAGAATTGTTTCCACTATTTGGATATTATGAATAATGCTGCTATACAAGTTTTTGTATGGACATATGTTTTCATTTCTCTTTGAGTATTGACTTACAAGAAGAATTGCTGGGTCATATGGTAATTCTGTTTAACCTTTGAGAAAGCAGCTATACTATTTTACATTCTCCCCAGCAGTGTATGAGAGTTCCCATTTCTCCACATGCTCACCATTAATTATATCTGTCTTTTTTATTTTGCAATCCTTGTGGGCATGAAGTATCTCACTGTGGTTTTGACTTACACTTCCCTAATGATGATTGGTGTTGTACATCTTTTCATGTGTACATTGGCCATTTGCATATCTTCTTTGTAGAAATGTCTATTCAAATTCTTTGCCCATTTTTAAACTCGGTTGTCTTTTCATTGAATTGTTAAATTTTTCTTTGTGTTAAATGTATTCCTTTGTGTTAAATTTTTCTTTTTCAAGATTATTTTAGTTTTTCTGGGTCCCTTACATTTTCATATGAATTTTAGGATCAGCTTATTTCTGTAAAAAGGCAACTGGGAGGTTGGATGCAGTCAGTGGCTTACGCCTGTAATCCTAGCACACTGGGAGGTCGAGGTGGGAGGATCACTTGAGGTCAGGAGTTCAAGACCAGCTTTAGCAAGAGTGAGACACTGTCTCTACTAAAAATAGAAAAATTAGCCAGGCGTGGTGGCATGTGCCTGTAGTCCTAGCTACTCATAAGACTAAGGCAGGGGGATCACTTGAGCCCAGGAGTTTGAGGTTGCAGTATGCTATGATGATGCCATCACACTCTACCTGGGGCTATAGAATGAGACTGTATCTCAAAAAAAAAAAAAAGAAAAAGGCAGCTGGGATTTTGCATTGAATCTATGGATCAGTTTAGGAAGTGTTGCTAACGTAACACTGTTAAGTCTTCCAGTTCATGAGCATGATTGTCTTTCAGTTTATTTAAATCTTTAATTTCTCTCAACAGTGTTTTATATAAGTTTTTAAGATGGAAGTCTTATACTTCTTTTGTTAAATTTATTCCTAAGTATTTTATTCATTTTGATGCTGTTATAAATTGGATTGTTTTCTTAAATTCATTTTCAAGTTGTTCATTGATAGGATATGGAAATACAATTTATTTTTATATAGCTGTATTATATATTTGTATATTGTATCCTTTATCTTTGCTGAACTCCGTGATTAATTCTAATTGATTTTTTTGTGGATTTTTAGAATTTCCTATATACAAGATCATGTTATCTGGAAATAGAGATTGTTTTACCTCCTCCTTTCCAATGTAGGTGCCTTTTATAGCTTTTTCTTGTCTAATTGCTTTGGCTGGACCCTCCAATACAATGTAGTATACAAATGGCTGTGTATTGCCATTTTTATGAAGTAGTGATGGGGTATAAAATATTTGATATACCTTGATATTGGAGCATGATGGC